AATTCCTTGCAAAATGGTGTGAAAGACGGAAAATTTGTACTTGAGACCGATCGCTGTTCGTTACGAATATCGTCTATTCTCGCGTTCGCGTCGCATACGCGGTGCTGACCGCGGTGCCGCGAACTAATAACCTTGAAATGGTTACCGACAATTATAAGGGTGATCCCGTGTTGAAGCAATCTTGTTTTACACCCAACTCGAGTTTTATTTTGTCCGATGCCCAGTTTTACGAGATCTGTTCAGTTAGGAGACCAAGAAACCTTGGCTAACCTCATTTCTCAAATACAAGATTCCTCTCAGCCTTTGTTCGTCACCAGGACGTCTGCAATAGGCGGCAACATCCCATCTTCATTCTCTGGTCTTTTCCCTTTCAAAATAGTTTATGCATAAGTTGTGTATGGTCATATTCAGAACTCTACTGCTCAGTTACGTTGGCATTAATTTCCCATTTCTGATGCCTGTTCTCAAGAAAACTTCTCTCGTTGTATTGCGGCGTTGGTCTCACTATTGCATCCAGTACCGACAGAAAAGTTGCATGTTCTAGCTGTTCTAGCGTTATTTTCGTTGAATTTGATGAAGTTGCAATTTCAAATATTAATATCGGTGCTCGGGATTTTGGCCTTCTCGAGCTCCTACCATCCCTGTACGCGTTCTATGTCTGCCCTACGTTCACAAATTCTTTGTAGCACCTATTCCGGTCCGCGTTAATTGTCTTCGCATTCTTGCTTTAATAGATACAGGCTGAAGCGACTCAGTCCCTCCTTGCTCTAATAGACCTCGAAGCTTCAACTGTCGCCTAAACCTACACCCTGAAAAAACGCCGGGCGAGTTGTCGCGAGACATTTGTCAAGTTTCTGGACATTTGTCAAGTATACGGCTTGTGAATCAAGCAATTCGTTGCGGGACCCACGCTATCGACTCTACTTTCGTTTCATTTTGGTGCTACTTATGAAATGTTGTTGGAAGAGATGATGTTAAGAGTGTCCGCTCCCATGAAAGATCCGAGAT